TACTTAATTAGATGTGTAAATATCAAAATGACGACATGAGATCATTTTTAGGTACAATATTAGGTTAAGGTACAATAATAGGCTAATATAAGCAATCAGAAAGTGTAACGGGCAGATTAGACTTCTTCAACCGCACACATCAAATGTCGCTTAGGTCTGGTCGCGAACCACTTTTGCCACTTTGCTTCTGCACCGTCGGTCTGGAATTTCTAGGGACGCACAGCAGTTTCCCGCCAAAGCGGAAGGGGGAGCCTATTGGGAGAACTCGGGTGACCTTCAGCGGATGGTCACAAGAACTTCGTTTTGGCAGAGACCTTGTTATCTTTATATTATTTTTATATGATTTGTCTGAGGCATCGTACAAGTGATTGTACCTCCGAACCTCCTCGATTAACCTTTCGTTGTAGTTGTTCCCAGGTTTTTAAAAATGGCGCACCCTGGGACAGAATCGAGAAGAATGACCAAACAGACAATGCCAAGGACAAATCACAGCTTCTTTCGGTCTGCGAACTTTCGCTTGAGGTCTACGGGGGTTTGCGACCGTCTGACGCGTAGTCAGGATTTTTTTGACGTGCATGACGACTGTTGCAGAACCTCCGCATGGGAGGCTTGGTTGCTTACAGAGACAGAGTTGACGGTTGCAGAGGCTATGTGTCAGAAGCATAAATTGGCCTTAATGGTTCGTTCAAAGCAGACGCCATGTTGTTGCTGGTTGATGCTTGTCCTCCTTAAAAGAGAAGTCCGCTCAGCAAGGAATAATCAATAGATCATTATCATTTTTTTGTTAATTTGTTGTTAATTCGTTAAAAAAAAAAAAACGCAATAATTTTTTATTGTCATGAATTATTTCAGTCCCAGACTAAAACTACCAGGCAGGATTGGCCGAGCGCAGCGTTCAGACTGTCATGGTGACGATTCTCTCATTTATCATGTGAATCGAACCGTATATATAGCACCGTACAGCTCTGGCTTGTTTCTTCTGTCAGTTGAGAGGAACATCTGGACTCTCTAATTACTAAAAAAGAAATAAAAGAACTGAACGAGATTGCTGCAAGTTTCATCCTCCCACCCAGTAGGTGGCGTCTTCATCAGACCGTTTGCCAGGTCTCCTAAAGCTGACGACTAATCTCTATTTATTCGCTGGATTGCTAATTACCTGTTGGTAGCACGGGGTTTAAGCGAAGCCACCAGCCGCCATATTGGTACTTCCTAGTTAGACCGGTCGCAGTGTAAACAATCCGTGTGCTACAGCATTGAACAACGATGATGTTCTCATTTTCAGGGGGACTTAAAGGAATAGTACACCCAAAACATGATTAGCCTTCATTTTCTACTCACCCCCATGCTGAACAACACTCTGGAGTACTTTTTTCATGAGCAAATACACTTTTTTATTGGAATTTATGCTTTGACAGAAAAG